TATATATATATATATGTACGTCTCTACTGTGCGCATACACTGTTCTACCGCGCGATAATTATCTCGCGTTTAGGCTAATCGTAAACTGCCAGACACTGCGCCGCGCGATCGCAACGCAACATTAATGAGAAACAATAGTTTTACGACAACAACAGCGACAACGACAATCACAGAAACGAGAGAAGAGTGATGAGTATTGATACATAATCGTTTCATCGCACTTCCGATTTTGTATTTTTTTTCTTTTCTTTTCCGCCTACGTTGATCAGCGCTATCGCTTCATCCACTCTCTCTTTCCGTATCTATTTTCCGCGAAATATCTTGAAAACGTTGAAACCTCCTCGATGTCACTCACAATAACCGGCTCCCTCCCCCCCCTCCCCCCAATCGTGTATCGTACGTGAATGCTTCTGAAATGCACTTTCTCCATTTATTACATGCGTTCCGCGAGACGGACGGATTGTGGCGGATTATTTCTTTCCTTTATCGAGCCGTCGCCATTTAGGGATACCAAACGAATTGCGAGAAGCGCAATCGACGTTCCGATTGGAATAATTAGATTAAAACTATAAAGGGTTAAAAGTAGAGTATTGTGCGGATATGAAGAAGTCGCGGAATGAGTAGAAATGATGATGACAGATTCTCCCCTTTTTTACTCATTTGTGTTAGTGATACAACTTCATGGCACGAATCAGATTTAATCGAATTATTTAATGTGATTAAGTATATATATATAATTATATATATTTGTGATTAAGTATATATATATGTAATTAAATATATATATATCCAAGCCTTTTCCTCATTTTCCATTAAATTTCACTCGCGCTTAAGGATTTCTAAAGTTGATTATAATTCATATAAAAATAGAAACTGAGCTGGATGATGGAGAGTCGACGCAAAGTGAATTTTTCATTATTAGTGCAAGACATTCGTCACATATTAATTGACATTAATTTACGTTAATCAAAAAAGATATTTGAATAAATTATATTGCTTATATATTTCTTTCTTTCTTCTGTTCATTTCGTAGCCGATGTCTCTTCTGATGGTTCTAAATTTATCTTGTCTCAACCATCTCGACCGACCGACTTCATCTTCTCTAATTAGCTATGGGCTGTTCCGATAACTTTAATGAGCTTGCTNCTCTCTCTCTCTCTCTCTCTCTCTCTCTCTCTCTCTCTCTCTCTCCGAGAAGTTAGTCGTCCTGCGCAAGCAACGTCTTCTGCTTAAGTTTTTACAGTGTTTCCGACCGTTTCCGCGCAACCAAATTGTCAGAGAGAACGAAAGAAGAAAGAAAAAAAAAAAGAAACAAGAAGGGGAGGCTGGCATATAATACGTGGCGTGTAATCTAAATAAGGGACTTTTATACCGAGTACGCATTTCCAAATGGACTCACCTGCAAAACACCAGCGGCCGGTCGCACGTGCAAAGACTATGAGGAAAATAATGAGTACGAGCACCATGACACCCACGACGATACCGATGATGGATCCAGCGTCCAAATCAAAGCCTGTAAATCGCGCAAAAAAGAAGGTCTCTCGTTATCATGGTCTCTCGTGCAATTCGTGTTATATCGGTGTCGCGGATCGACACAAATGGACAGGACACTTTTTACTACGAGAGTGGAAGGGGAAAAAAACGCGGCTTATAGGATAACTCGCGATCTTCTTACTCTTCCATTCTCGAATCACTTAAATAACTTCGAAATTTTCGCAAAAGATACTAATCGCGTCGGATACACAACGAATATTCGTTAAAGTTTATCGTTACACAGTAAAAAATTCTGTGCTAAATTTAACGCATCTCACACGTCCCAAACGGTCCGCGCAAATTTTTGGGTCGATTTAACACAAGGTGAATATGTTGAAAAGTAACGCGAAATTAATATCTATAATATATATATTAATTGACACTGAAGCGTAAAATACGTTATTTTAACATTTACATATGTTGGATATCGAAGATTCAACACAAAATATCGAGATAACGTAAACACGATATATTAAGTTGACACACGGTGTACGTTAGAGATTCAACACGAAAATTTTAACAATAACTGATTTTAACGCGAGCACAAAATGTTTTTTCATCGTGCGGGCAAGACGAGGTTGACATACAACCCGAGACTTTTATCCATTCTTCGATCAATTCGAAATCTCTCTTTATCCGAAAGTTTATCGACGTTTCAATATTCGTCGGGCAAAACTGCATCTTTCACTTAGTAATCGGATAAACTTCGTTTCCGTATGGATTTAATTAATTAATAAAATAATTTAATTCGAGGCTCGACCACTACAATACAGGATATTGAAAACCAAGAACTCGCGGAAAAACCGCTGACTCTTCCCCGATATCCCGCGCGAATTCGCGCAGAAGAATTCGTCGCACACGAATGTCATGCGAACAACGCGATACGTTCTGTACAGAGCCGCGTTGGGAGGCGAACAAAAAAAACAGATAACGATTAAAGTGCGACGTATATGTATGCTCGGGCACGTGGCGTTACGTGCGGAGTCGCGAGATCCGAACCGATGAAATCAGTTGCACTGTTTCGCGCGATGCGCGCGCCCCCGCCCGTGGAAATTGGTAAATTGCACGTCGCTCGATCAACAGTCCGACGCGTTCTCGTGTCGATCGACGTGTATTATTACGCGCCCTTTACGCCAAATAACGGTTATTAATGTTCCGGCCTGATCATCGTGCGCTCCGCGCGGGATCACCGCGGGGATCACGGAACGCCAAGTGCTCACGTGACTATACAGACTACTTACGTATAGTAATTTAAAAAAGTGACATTACCTAGTGCGTGCATGTGTTCGGAGAGCTTACCATAGAAGTTACTGAGCGGTCCTGCGTGAGCATGCGGTGAAGGGTCGATATGGTTAGACACGCGCATAAAACATAGACGAATATTCTAGACGGACATACACACACACACACACACAGACGCGTGTGCGACCGGCGGTGACGATCGACATGGTGATTACGACGACCGATAGCGGTGACGTTTTTATGTGCGAGATTGCGGCTGCGATTACGAGAGCTCGGAATCGGTGAACAGCCAAGTGTGAGGCGCCGTTAGTCGAGGCGGACGGGAAGGTAGGTGTGTGCGGAAAAAGCGCGCGGTGATATGTCGAATGCTCGCGCGTGTTATTTATCGTCCGTTTGCCACGGTGTGTCGGGAATCAATGGATTGAACGTTACAATTCGATCGAGCAAGATGTAGACACGTGGAATGAATACGTGGAGTAAATACCCGTTGCAGTTAATTACGTCGTCAGGCTTGAGTTTAAGTTCGTTAGTTTGAATGGTAACGGTAATATCGCGAATCGAAGGATCCGGTAAGCTCAAGCTTGGACCGTAGCGAACGAACGACGCAGCGTTTCTGTTTTGAGTGCCGTGTTAATAGAAATTCCAGCGATTCGAACGACAGTGAGTGTGTAGCGTCTGAAAAATTTGCCGTATCGGCAGTGTCACATCATTGTCAACGATGTCCGGTGTCATTGTGAATACACGCAGAGAATTTCTTTCGATGATACAAACATTCATGAACCAAAGGTACAGCACTGTGGGCTTTGCTCGGCTAGGACATACTTATAACGTCGAAACAGTCTCGAAGCAAACTGTAGAAATTTATGCTGCAATTCTAGACAAAATCGTAACTTATTCTCGGGAGACTCGTAAGAACTCACGATTGAGACCATAATTCTCTATGCATACGATCACTCGTAAATAACTACGATTTCTCATAAATCTTACGGCAAGAAGCTGTTTGTAAGTATGATAAGTATTATGGGAGATCTTTTAGTAACTGTCAAGAAATTTGTATAATAAATTTTAAAATAACACATGAAACTTAATAATTAGTACATACATCATTTTTTAAATAATCGGAACACCTGAGTTTGCAAATAAATCGATGATCTTTATGCGCAATCACGCGTAGCTTCTCAAATGACAGGTTATATATATTTGAAATTAAAAGTTTGGTCGTATTAACCAGAAAGGAAACAGATGTATTTTGATTGAAGGAAACAGGATTTTTTGCCGTAAAAACCATATTTGGATCATAAAAATCGGAAATTCGGCTTCTTTCAACCAGAACGCAACCTGGTTGCTCCTTTTTTGTTAATGCTACCAGATTTTTCTTCTGGTATACGATTACTACGTAAGTTACGATTTTACGATTTACCATAAATTTGTTTAAAATTGTAGCATTGGAAAGCAACATAAATGACTCTATTATAATTGCACATCGCTGCCCGGACCACACTTTATGTGACAAACACAATGAGTAAAGGACCATCTATAATGGCTGTAAATTATGCAATAAGACGTAAGCAATAAACTTATTAACCAACTATAGCCGATTATCCTTGAACTGTAAGAATTGGTCAATTAGCTTATTGCTTACGTTTAGTGTATACATGACAGCTGTTGTAGATGATCCTCAACCCGTCTTTCCGTTGTTCTTATAAGCGCACATACACAGTAGTACCTTACACAACGTTTATTACCTGAGACAAAATGTTTTCCCATACACAGAAATAGAAATAAATAAAAAATGTACAATCTAAGCTGCATCGTCAAAAATGCGTGTATCAATATGGGACACATTTTATCTTTCTTTACGCGTGGTAAATTTATATATAATCAGGTTAAAAAATATATCCAATCGTTCGTTTATTGCTGTCATATGTCACGTCATGAATTTTAGCTTCAGTATGAGTATATCCTAGTTGCACGTAATACAAGCCTGGTAAATTATGTTTATTAGCACGATAGCACGATATGTTAATTTCAACGAAAATTTTCTGCATGTACACATCGAAGTGTTCTAACATTTTTTTGTTATATATACATGTAATTTCTAAGTGCATGGTGTAATGTTTCCAATAGACAGGAACTTACGTTAAGTCGAATTTCTCGAATAACTCACCCGCTGGTTCTGAAGATGTCGACAATATAAGCTTATAACTTTCTGATCCTAAGTCGTTGCGCGCCTCCAGTATGTATTCCTTCTCCGTGTCGGACTTCTGAACGTTATTGATGGACAAAATCAGGCCCCATCCTCCATCTCCCTGTAAACGTGACTTTGTTACAAATATGCATAAATTCAATCCCGTCTCGACCGGCCCTTAATTTTCTACGCTGTATTACTCATTAATTAAACCTTTAGTTAAGCCCTAATGTGTGCTTGTGTGCGTGTATGTGTGTTGCTGAAGGAACGTCCACTATAAATTACACGAAGGCCCTTGCTATTAATTACGAGTTTTTGCATACACACAGATAACATACACACACATACGTACGGCCCTCGTGATTCGTATATTAAAGAGATAAATTGATGATTACAGCGGTAGTCACAGAAAAAGGACGAGCGGCAAAGATAAGCTCTCCATCTTTTACCGAAACTTAATCGTACGTGAAATATTTTGCAATTTCGCTGGATTCCCTTCGATCCTACCGGGTTATATGCAAGTACACAGCAAGTCCCGCTTTTCCCGGCCCAATGAAATTTACTTAATTTCCATTACACCCGTCAATCTTGTCGAGCGCGTCGCCTTTTTTTCCTTTTTCTTCCCGATCGAATGAGAAAAACACGTTTCTCGTTTCTCGCTTTTCGTTTTTCGCGTTAAACTCGGCCGGCTTTTATAAAAATTTCTCCGTCTTGTCCGGCCCGCTCTAATCGAGGAAAAATCCATTTTGGCGGCTCTCGATATCGCGTTGTCGAGCGCGTTGTTCGCGGGGCCGCTATTATAGGAACGAAAAGCGGTAAGCCGAGTCTTTCCGAGCTTTTGCCTCTCTCTCTCTCTCTCTCTCGGGTGGTAATTGCGTTTTCAGCGGGAGCTGATTCGTATTCGTCGGCGGCGCGTCTCGCGCGCGCGGCGCTCGGTTCGCGTTGCACAAGTTGTGACTTGCGAGCTGCAGCTTATTTGAAAGCCATTCATACGCGAGCCGGAGCCGGCGCCGAATGGCGGCTTTTATTGGTTCTGGCACACGCTGGCGTTGTTCCAGAGTGTTACGCTCCGAAAGTTTGCGCCCGCCGTACCGATCGTCGCGAGCTCCGGCGACAAAATCATCGGACGCCATTGGGATCTCCTCCCCCCTCTCTCTCTCTCTCTCTCTCTGACTCTCGATCAGAGAATAGCCCGCGTCATTGAATGCACTCGGCCGGTTTGCCGCGCGTGCCGCTCGATTAAAGCTTCGATCCTCCTCCTGCTCTCTGACCGTCGTCCTAAGGCCCGAGAGGTCGTGTGAGCTCGCACGACTCTTCACCCGGAAGTTCGCTGACTCCACGCGATTTAACCCTCCCGTTGCGACGCAAGAGAGAGAGAGAGAGAGAAGAGGCGAGTAGCGGAGGACGAGCGGCAAATGTCGCGGGAAAAGTGGCGCGCGCGAGAAGATTTTCCTCCGGACGACGGGTGTGCGATCATGCGAACGGCTGAGAACGCTACAGGTGTCTAATTCGCGATTTTAAAACTTCGAGAGACCGGGGCTCGTCGTCGACCGTCGCTCCTCCGCGCTTAATCCTCGATCGCGCGGGAAACTCGGCTGGTGGACGAGTGTTTTTGCGTGCACACGTATACGTACGGTGGTCCATTTGAGATTCGCGGAACCTTTCCGACTCTCGCTACTTCCGTTCCCTCGGGCGCGGGCTTTAATAAATGGATTCGGACGGAATGACGCGGCCGGCATTCAGGACGCGCGCCCCTGTCTATCCGCCTCTATTCGCTGCGCGGCGCGGCAGCACGTCGGACTAATTAAAAAGCGCAAGTTGCAAGATCGGCAAATCCATTTAAGCCTTAACTACGGAACGACGAACAAACCGCTTGTTGTTAACGAAACAATGGGTCAGGAACAACGCCTAGGAGAGGGCCTGTCGGAGCGGCAACGGCGATCGCGCCGATCGATCCGCCCGCGCGGTGTCTGAATTCAATGGAATTTCATTACGGCGCTGCGCTCTCTCCGCGCGCGCGCGCACGGCGCTGTCACACAGGTGCACGGAGAATGCATCGGAACGGCGGCGAACGGTAAATCGAGGCAACCCCGCCGCCCCGTTGCAGTGTGCAATATTGGATTTCTGTTTCATTTGCCTCCGCCAATCCGGAGTTGCTCTCCCCTTTCATCGCCAATTATTTCTTGGCCCCCCTCCCCCCCTCGCCCCGTTCTTTCTCCTACGTTTTATCTGTTACCTACTCACTCACTCTTTCTCTCTCTCTCTCTCTCTCTCTCTCTCTCTCTCTCTCTCTCTTTTTCTCTCTCGCGAGCTTAAACGAAAAGCCGAACGCGCGCGCGTTTCGCGCTCTGCGGTGCCGCCGAATCGAGTCGCCAAATGCACCGGCTTGCCTGCCTCGTCGCGACACGTTACCGCGCCGACAATCGCTTTAAAGGAGCGAACGGGGTGAAAATGCGGGAATCAATAATGGCGATGTGACCTCTGATGAATTTCCACCGCTACTCGAAAGAGAGAGAGAAAGAGAGAGGGGGGAGGAGAGAAAGCGGAAAGGTTAGATGTAAGAAACTATTCTTGTGGTTAAAGCTCGGTCTACAATGTGCTCTTTGTTTGTTTGTTGTGCTGTCTTGTTTCTTGTTCTCTGTCTTTCTTCTGCAAGAACTTCTATTTACTTATGGAGAAGAGAGAGAGTAAGAAACACGAAAGAAAGAACACATTGTAGATCAGGCTTAAAGAGTACGTTAGACGCCGAAACTGACTATAATTTCCTGCAGACCCGAGGATCCTGTAAATGAGTTACGTTAAATAGGAAACAAGGGGGAGCGAGAGACTGAATTATCGGGGGAAGAAAAACTCACCATGTCGATCGCGGTTGAAGTCTGCAATCGATTGGTCTCGTCAGTCTGACCGGCGAAGATCACCTCGTCACCTATTTTCCATTTGAAATCCGGCTTGGGATTCGCGTAAACGGTGATGTTGACGGAACCCTGTCTGCCAATCACGTATCCAAACCGCTCGAAGATTGTTCTCGGCTGTGGCGGAACTGCACGAAAAGTGTAATAATATGCTGATATTTCAGTATGTTTACGAAAGAAACTACTAGTTTTTCTCGGCAATCCGTGCTTTAAATAAAACACGGTTAACGCGAATTTATCAATATAAAATAAATTCGCTCAGCGAAAACGGTTATATTTCGTTATTGAGTAAATATAGATTTTACTAGCCGAAATGGGAATATTGGCGTTGAACAGACTGTTTTGCAAAATTCGAAATGAAAAAATAGAAAACGGATAAAGCGTGGAGTACGGAAATAAAAAGAAAAAAAAGAGAGAGAGAGAGAGAGAGAGAGAGAGAAGTAAAATGAAATTTCCGCGATACATTCGACGAAATGAGACGTGACGTCAGAAGAAACGAGAAACCGGTAACTTACATTGTACATCCAGCAGCATGCTAGCTTCCAAGGGCTTATCGAGAGCGATGTGATTGCCCACGCATCGTATTGTCTTTCCGTTGTCCTTCCAGTCCAAAACGTGCGTAACGTTCTTTATGCCCGTTGGTTGTATGGAATGTTCGTATTGCTGTGTTTCATCCAGCAAATCGTTACCTAGATTTCAAGAAAGAGACAGTGAGGATCTTTCTTTTCTATCCCTGGTTTACTGTATAGTTTACTATATTCTACACATTATTCGCGCTTTATTTTATCCAACATATTATCCAATAAAGCTTATCGAGATATTCAAGAGAACGCGTTCTCGTCTTGATCTGTTTTCACGGTAGTTTATTAATTCTACCCTTTGGAATAAAATTAATAAGCGTGTTATTAATTTGAGAATACAAAGCTTTGAAACTCCGCGATATTAGCTCGTTTTTACAATATTGTCTGTATATCACATTTTTGATAAACGATGTATCTCAGTCCTTTGCAGTGTTCAAATTGTTCTTCATTACTCTCTTTCATTTTAATTTTCCCGACTCCTGCGAGCCCAAATAATCCACGATTAGAGTTTCGGGAGAGCACCGTATCTTTTTTCACGCGAGATAATTACTCGATACTTGATATTTCTTCATTATTATTTGATATTTCACAATAAATTATAAAGTTAAAGTTGACTGAGTTAGTTAAAGTTAAAATTATTTAAAACGAAATAAATAAATAAATCAAACACTACCGAGATATATCGATATATTCGGCGCGGGTCGTCCATTCGGAGCGTAGCAGCTCACTATAATCTGATCTCCTTTTATGTGTGCGCTTCCACCCCTGTTAAGGTTGCTCGCTTTAAGAAAGATTTCTTTGGGTGGTTCTGAAAAATCAAAGCAGATATTTATTTGGATCGCCCCGTGTAGATAGATCAATCAAATTAGATCGGAGCCATTAACGGAATGACTGTGACATTTCTACCACGTGTCTTATCGCATATTTTATCACTTGTATCACCCGTGCTCACGTCGGTGATCTAAAGTTGATTTTTTTTTCTTCGTCATGTTTTCACGTGTAAACGTAGCAGCAGATTCTCCTGAGATATTCATGCTGCCCCCACCATTTATCTTTATCGAGTTCATCTTGAACGGTAACTTCGCTCGGGCGCTTATTTCAGAGCCTCCGTAAGCAATTTCCTTAAGGAAGATTAATTACTTTTCGAATATACAGCTATCGCCTGTAACTGGTACAAGCGTCGGCTTTTTTGCTTCTTGTTCTAATTGATGATGTTTCTTTTTTCATCGTCCCGAGAGAAAAAAGAAAACTTAAAAGAAATACCGCGTTCTATGTCTCTTATCTTACACGACGCAACCCGAATCGAAATTTTGACCCTATGTTAAACCTTTAATTCTACAATACAGTAATTGTAAATATAAAGTCTGAATAAAATATTTATCGGGCCGAGAAAATCATTTAAGTTTAAACTAAACTTATTATTATGAGAAAACGAATGTTTTTGAAGAAAATTCTCAAATGGTTTTGCAAATGCAATTTAAGTCGTTCTTGGGTGCCACTTGTAATAAAATAAACCGATGATTTATGTGATCTTCGCGTCAAGTTCGTATTTAACTTTCAGATAACAAGATTGGTCGGATCCGATCGTATCCATATTCCAATGCTGCCGCGCAAGTGCTTGTGAGGCGTTACATTTCAGATATTTTACATACTTCGCGATATATTTCATTTACTTTTAAATATTTTTTAACTTATTGTGAGAATAAAAAGTGCTTTATCGAACAAATTAGTTGAGAAAAGTACAAAATGCTTCCACGGCTCGGATGCGGCCTACATGAACCTTGTTGTTCGAGGGTGTAATAAAAATTTCGTCGTGTTATAGAATCAATACAAAGAACATGATGACTCACTCGCGACGATGATGTTCAAACCCGCGTTGATCTCCTGCCGAGAATTGGTCGTCGCCACGGAACACTTGAAGAGACCATCGTGCGTTTCTTTCACTCTGGCAATTCTGACGCCGCAGTGACCTTTGTCGAAGCCAGCGCCGTAATATTCGATGCCGTCTTCCGCTAGTTGTCCCGGAGACAGAAGGATGGCGTTTCCCTCTCCGGGTATTTCCACACGGCAAACGAGAATCGGCTGCGGAACTCGGCACATAATCTGCAAACTGTTGCCGACCCGCACGGCCGTTACGTTGTGTGGCTCGATAATTATCTCCGGGCTCGTTGACTTCGCTGAGAACAGACGAAAAGATCGAGTTAAACAATTAATAATAATACCCGGTTGATCGATTACTCGTATCATATTTGGTGGGAAAGAAAGAGAAAGAGGTTACATATATATAAGAGAATATATTTATACATATACTTATATATTTATTAAAATATATTTTCAAGTATATTTTTTTCCGTGTGGGGTGACTTAAAAATTAGATTCCGTTTAAAGTAGAAATATGGACACTTTTATCGAATATTTTAGATACATTTTAATTAGATATTGGGTATTGAACGATCAATTATCTCGATTAAATATCTAACGACAGTCTGACGAATATCTGACGAATATCTGACGACAGTTCTATGATTTCGTTAACGTAAAATATAACATGAGTTTTGCACGCTTTAAACATACCTACGCGAAAACACTCGAAACGAATCAAGCGATCCGAGTAAAAGGCCCGACGACTGAAACAGAGCGGCTTGACCGTTCTTGAATTACCATAAGACTTAATTAGACCTGGGATTAATGTCCACCCTCATTATGCAACACGTGCGCATCCCTCTACTTAATATTTATAATGTACCTGGCGCAGAATGTATTGCTAAAAACGAGTTTTCCCTCTGCACGTACGGGGTGCAATGACCGTGGCCGTTCTCTTTTAGAAGTATCAAAATGTATTGATAAAATAAAAGGAAAAGAGAAGAAAGAGACAGACGAGGGGGAGGGGCGGGGAAGACATTAGAGCGGTAGATTTTAAAGAATACGATCGGAAAGAACACGCATCAGGTCTGCGAGCGTCCGATAAAAAATCGAGAGTGGGCGATTCTCGCACGGGAGAGGATCTCGCGTTTACGAAGATTTACGGGACAAAAAGGAAAGTTGATTAAATCCCCACCTGCACCTACCTCTGTCGCCCCTCGTGTATCTTTCTTATACCGACGCGCTCTGCATCGGAGAGGCAGCGCTGACTTTTTCTCCCGTCTGTCCGTTCTTTCGTCACTGTAAGCCCACCCGACACGTCGCTGGATCTAAATCCTTATGCGCAATATATTCTTTAGCTTCAATACCGCTCCACCGTTTAGATACCGACGCGCTCTTGCGTTTCTCGTTCCGCTAATTGATATATCGCGAAGTAAGCGACGTAAGGGGCGCGATTCCATTGAATTATCGATTGGATTCTCCTAAAGGTGGCTCTTTTGCGTAGACTTGCGTGGATTTGTTCACCTTGCAAATTGGAATTCGTACTGTGCGCGATATGATGCGGCAAGCTAACTCGACGCGACACAGCTCAATGACAATAGACGATGATTCTCGTTTCCATATAACTTTTTCGATTTTCCTTTCTTTTCTTTGTCCAGCCCTTTTAATTCCCTCTTCACGTAGACAGTTCTCACTGGCGTTATCGCTGGCCGTCGTTAAATATGCAACGGTCTGTTTTAATCGTAGCCTCGTCGTAACGTGGATGTGTCACGGTTGTCGCGAAAGTTTTCATAAGTAGTCTTTAGCGGTGTTTAGACGTTTACAAGGACTTGGCGAGAGCAGCTTCGATGTAACGGAAGCGGTGAAGAAAGCTCACATTTAGCATACCCTCATTATGCAGCGAACCCTTAAATATTGATGCCATCGGAGAGCATGTGCATACATGTTGTTGTGGCTTCATAACGCGATGTAATATTTAGTAGTCGGAGCTCTAGCATGATGTTAATATTCATAAACGCCCGTTCAGCATAATATTCAAAATAATTGTTCCGGACAAACCGCGTCCCCCGGAAGCTGTATTTAACGTAGCCGTAAAAAAGACTGTATTTAAATTCACAGTCATTCGCGGCAGTTTGATTTTCATTTATCCAGTTGAACGGCGGTTAATAAATAATAATAATGAGAAATAATAATAATAAATAAAAATAATGAGGAACGGAACGATAGATATTCTGTCAATCAGTTCCTTGCAGTGTTAACGCGAGAAATATCAAAACTACTCCTGCTAATCGCCATATTAAAATTAATTCTTACAAATGCGGGGTCAGATTCGATTAGACTCGCGCTTGGCAACTCAGGGTCAAAACGAGAAAGAAAAAAATAGACGAGTCCTCGAGAAACATTTTTCTTCGTGCACGGTCAAATGACATACGACAGTTGTCATTCCGGTATGATGATCATTATCGCTCCCATCATGCGCGATGATGAACGTCGTCGAAATAGTGCGAATTTTACTACAAGTGTAATTAGGTAGGGGAAAGCGAATTAAGGTAACGACTTTAAGGTTTGTCGACTTTTCCTGATTTCCGTAGTAAGATAAAAATAATGATTAATTTTTATCTAAGTAGATAAAGCCTCGCACATCATCTGTGTAAATTCTCGTCATCTTGCTCACTTCGTCATCTCCCCCCCCCCCCCCTTTCCCTTACACGTCATCGTAAAGCGGCCCGCGCGCAAGAACTCGAACTGCAACCTGGCAAAAAGAGCCCGCGCCATTCCGCCCTTAAAGAGCCACCATCGGTGCAGCTAAGGGTTAAATACAGACGGGGCTCGTTTGCTCTTGAATTCCGTCGGGTAGGCGCCGCCGACGCCGTCGCCGACGTCGCATCGATCTCCCCGCGCGACGCGCCGTGTCATCGGCGGAACGACGCGGCCGATCTCATGCACGATGCTATTATGATAATGCACTCCAAGAAATATGATAAACTGGGCGTGGCGCGGGCAACGACTATCATATTTCATCCCGGCGACCGGTTGACTGCCCGGCCGCCGGGTAACCCTCCATTTTGAGAAGCAGATGCCGGTTAAGGTCCGGCATTATCGGTTTTGACATATTCGCGGTCGTCGTAATCGAACGACGGACCAAATCGAGGAGATCGAGGGCTCAATTCTCGCGAAAGCGCGCGAGATTATGTCGCGTGCGACAACGAGCAAACTAGAATAGCACTAGATTTGTCGATTTGCTCCGATATTATTCTCGCTACTTCGCTCGTTGTCGCAAGAGGAAAATCCCCGAAGATACACAATCGACCCCCAAAGCGTCCCCTCGCTCCCTTCTCGCGCAAAATACGTTCCTCTTCTTCTTAGTCCGACCTCGTATTGTTTCCCCAGCACGGAACCATCGAGCCGCTTTGCGATTTTCGCGTGTTTATTAACGCCGCTGGACTACGTGAATTTTTTTGTTCGTCTACGCAATAGTATATTTTTCCGCATAGGTGCGCCTAGATGCGTTTTCTGTGCAGTCCGATGCGTTTCGGCTCGCGAGCGTGAGATTCAATGGGCTCGTTAGAATCGTCGCGCGGTTTTATCGCGCGATATGGACTTTTAAATACGTTGAAAGCACTTCCGGAAAAAAAGCGATGTTTTCTGATATTTTCTTTCGATATTGTTACTGTTTTTTCTGTATCCTGTTGCTATGTTATCCCGGCCGTTCCTATGTTATCTATGAAAAGAATGCATGACCGTTACAATACGGTTTACAGTTTGCCGCGGGAGTATATTCGTTAATTCAACACGGGAGAATTTGCCTTCTCGATTTTCTTGCCCGTTTGTTTAGCTTGGGTAATAATAATCCCGTCGTTGAGTCCTCTTGCGATATATTCGGGAATTCTCAGATACAAGGTGACGTTACAAACGCGAGATACTTAAGTGATTACTGTACCCAAGTAGAAATTTGAGTTCTACGCTGACCTCTCTCTTGTAAATCTGGTTGAACTTGAAGGATCAATCTCAAAGTGTAACGTCATACAGGCTATTGTCTTTTGATATTACAAATGGTTATTTGCTGCTGTTTTCTCCATATTGAGGCTTTAATTTAAAGAATACGTTTAAAAATTATGTAAAATACTTGATTATCTTAATATTTCATCCATATTTAAATCTTTATTTTTAATTACTCGGTAGGTAATGTATTAATATTATGTAATTTGCTCAACTATAGAATATGGGCGATAAGCAAATGTTAAACAATTAAACAATTCAATAGAAATGGATGGGTAAATAATGGTTCATTATTGCGAATGTATAATTAATTATAATCCTAACGATCGTAAGAAATTTATGATTATGAATACCGGCCTAAGTCTCGCAAGCTCCACAAATGCTTGGATTGGTTTGCAGCCTGTAATAATATTCTTTGGATAACAAGCTCCATCTTGTATTTGCCAACATCTTTTTATCTGTGCTTATCCTTGTTATTATATTGAAATTAAATTTAAATTCTTACTCATTTTTACGCAACGTCATTTTTGCCCTTGCAACTTTTCCCCCCACCTAATTACTCCAATCTTATAAAAATGTCCAACTGCAATAAAAAAAAAATAATAATAAAGAATTATGAGGTACAATAATTTGTGTTTTAACCGTCTCATTATTTATTCATATTCATTATTTAACATTCGCACATATGTTCTATTTTAGTTGACAACGTTACATAATTAATATGTTGCTTGTAAATTAAAAATGAAGATTAAATAAAGCTGGGATATTAAGATAAACAAATATCACGTGTTAAATATTTATTTTCTAAATGCGCTTATAATACACACAGGGCCTGGAATAATTTTAAAGACCTTTTAACAGATTCTTCTTTAATTTTCAACATAGAAAAAACGACAATAAATGATCACTTGTAACATCACAGATAAGCCAATGAGAAAGTGTATAGAATTATATCTCAAAATTCTCCACGAACCCCTCAAATTTGATAAAATTTACGTGATTAATATAGAATCAAAATTTAGATTTCGGCAAACGACAAAGTAATATCTTTGTTCTACAAAAAAAAGAATTAAATCACTCGAAAATAGTCCTATAGAAAAATCATTCAGCGGCGCATCCGCACTATTCCCCGTATCCCTCTGTCCGTCCTGAATCGATCAAATTAGTACGCATTAAAAAATGACGCGAAAACTCCAGCGGGAATTCCTGAAATAACGTTCGACGCGGTCGCCGATGCGGCACACCGCGTCGGGCCCGCCGCGCGTTTGCAAGACCATAAATCCCATTTGATTTTCCGGTCATCAGTTTGTTACAC